TTCTTTTCTTACTTCGCCTGTTGGTCAACCTGCCTCACATTTAGAAAGCTTCAGCATCATGTCTACTAGGATCTTTCGATAGTAGATACTTAGACTTAAGACTTAAGTATCACACACCTTGATGATCACCTTATAAAACATGTTGCTCGGTTGGGACATTTGAGCATTAGATTCTCGGACTAAGATTCAAGGGTAACACCCTGATGCTTGCAATATAGAGATAACCTTTATGTTGAGACCTTCCGGCAGTGGATTTCTGGATTGAGTTCGCCGGTCATACCCCGATGCTCATTAGATAGAAATTACCTTTTTTATTGGAACCTTTCGACAAGACCCCTGAGTTGAGATTCGTAGAACATGGCCCGATGCTCACCATACGGACTTTATATTTATGTTGGGACCTATCGGAGGTAGATCCCCGAGTTGAGATTCATAAGTCAAACCCGTTGCTCGCCAGCCAAACGTTAACTTTTTATTGGGACCTTTCGGTAGCAGATTCCTAGGTTGAGAGTCATAGGTCATACCCTGATCTTGACCAGATAGTGATTATCATTCTCTTGGGATCATTCAGCGGCAGACCCCCTAGGGTGCAAGTCATAGGACGTACCCCGATGCCCACCAGATAGAGATTATAATTCCGTTTGAACCTTTCAAAGGTAGATTCCCAAATTAAAATCCGTTGAACACGCGCTAATGCACACCACATAGAATCTACTCAAACTGCAAGTGATTGCATTATTTATATTTTGTCAATTTAAAAATTGCTATTATAGTAAATAATTTATGACTAGCTAAAGATGGAAAGGGAAACCTCCCTCGCAAAGTCATTGGAAATCTGCAAGCTCCAAAAATTCAACGACCGTTCCTCAGGAGACTACATTTTTTTTTTAAGAAAGCTTTGGAGCATTGAATTTTCAGAAGGGAGATTGAATTGCAGATAAGAGACTACCCAGAGATTTCACCCTCAGCTTGCTATGACTTTTTGATATTGGGATCGAGGTTTCTCATAGGCGCAAGTCCCTATGATTAATTACCCCTCCCGATAACGGGAGAGAACTTTCGATACATGCTAGTCATTAAAAATTGAAAGTTGAACATATAATAGCAGCAAACTAAAGATTTAATTTGTATAAATTCATCACTTGAAACTTAAAGTGAATGGTAGGGGAATAAAAACGAAACCCGATCAATACCTTATGGTCTTGTCATTCCTAGGCTTCATAGCCCCTGATCTATTTAGTCAGAATAGGTAGTCAACCCACCGTGACAGAAGAATCCTTATCAACAGTCATGGGTTGTGTCATCCAACAAATCCTTATAGATCTTTGATGGATGTTAGTTTAAGAAGATAATTTTAAGTCGAACTTAACTAAGAGTTGATTTTGTGTCAATCAATTGTACTCGTATGATTTATTGGGTTGTGAAGCCTAAGCACAAGACACCCAACACATAGGGGTGTAAACGAGTCGAACACGTGCGCGCCCAGACACAGTTTGTGTTTAACTAGTTAAAAAATATCAATGTTTGTGTTCGACTCATTTATATTTCAAACAAAACAAATCTATTCTTGTTCGACTCATTTGCTTATCAAGTCGAACACGACTTGTTCCCAAACAAAGAGTCGTTTTGATAATCTTAGTCACGCAACTGTTGGATTTTAAGGGTTAAGGTGAGATTTAAATTTTATTCTTTATATTAAGACATTATTTAAAAATAATTTAATATATATTTTTTTAATTGATTATATATCTTTGTAGCCTTGTAATCAATTAAATTTCTTAAAAAATAGTCCCCAATATCCCTCTCTCACACACATCAAACAAGGAAAACCCAAATCAAGCATAGGAGAATCCTGGTACTGCAGTAAGAAGAGGCATTTCAAGAAGAACTGCAAAGTTCCAATGAAAGCTGGTGATGGAGGATAGGAAAGTAGTTTCTCTACTAAAGTGAGACATGTGAAATCCAAAACGTAGTCGGCACTGAATCCTGGATAGTGGATTCAGGTGCCTCTATTCATACTTGCCCTAATAAAGAAGTATTTAAAAACTACACTCAGTGTGATCTAGGAAATGTTTATTTGATATTCAATTTAAATTTAGTCTCCCAATTTATCACATTTTATATTTTAGTCAAGCTTACAAGCTTATCCCCTCCAAATTATGATATTTTATTTAAGTTAAGCTTAAACGCTTACCCCTTCCAATTTATGATATTGTATATTAAATTTAAGCTTAGCCCCTCCAATTTCTATATTAAAATAGATCTCATGAACATTCACTTACATTAGGAAATATAATTTTATTTGATCACATTCAAATCATCGAATTCGAGACTTTTAACTCATAATTTATGTTTCCCTTTATTTCTATTTTGACATTATTTTTAAGTCCAAATAATTCATTTTTTAGAACATTTGCAAGTCCAGTATCACCAAAATGTTTGGCAATCTCCCGACGTCTTCCCAAATTAGAGGGCTGCATAGAGATGTCTGTCTGCCCAGCTGTCTATAAAACCTATTGGTCAGTGTCACGAGACACAGTGGCCGAAAAAGAATTTTAATCTACTTGTCTAAATGTGGGTCTTCACTTTTCCTACATAAAAATTAAAAAATCTTGATTTCCCTATTTTTACCTTTTCGTGCAAAGTCACAATAGTATATATGGTGATCTCTATGGTAAAATGATAATCAGTGACACCATACAATATTGCATATAGTCCTTTAAGCTCTCTAAAGCTTTCTTTAAAATTTCCTCAAACATTTCCTGTCATTTCAGTCATATCTTTGAAAGAGACAGAGTATGAGCATTCTTTCTGGATAATTCAGTAGAGCTGTCAATTTCACGCTCAACTTTGGTCTTTTCATTCCATCATCACCATCACTGCAAGCTCTGATCTCATTCAAATTCAAAATAAATTCTTTGACGTTTGAAATTATGGCTCTACATGTAGGATCAACTCCTTTATCTGCAGTGTCCCTTGTTTAAAAGTTGAGTATTTACATGTAGGGGAATCTAGAAGAGCTTCATCTTCGATATCACTAGCCAAAACTGTACCTTAATTAGTCGACGTCACTCTAATGTAAACAGTACATCCCTTAAGCTTCATGTGAAATGCTCTCTCCCTTCTTCCCTTTCCATCTGCTTCTTCCTGCCACCTTGCTCTCACGCTGAGTGCCACAAGAAGCTTGTTGTCGCAACAACACCAACGCCACCTCCAACTGCAGCTTGTTGGAAACCTGAGCAATGCTTCCTCTTCTCTTCAGTCCTCCCCACCTCATAACAATCGGATAAAAGCAAAGCGTAGAAGAGGACTTCAGGCTCACAAGCAGATATTAACAAGAGATGCCAAGATCAGCGTCGGGACTCCTTTTATTAGAGGGCAACGACGACGGAGGCAACATTGTTGTGTTGCCATTGGTATGAATGACTGTAGAAGATTCTTCAACTAGGATATCTTGTGATAAGCTAGAGCAAAATTGTGTGATGACAATAGGTATCGTTCTGGGATGGCTTCAATGAACAAAAGAAATAAATCAGTAACCGAGGAAGCAAGGACAATAGAAACCGACAATCAACTCCAGCGTTGAAAGAAGTCAAAGGATTCTAATTCGCAGCGATCCCGTCATTTCAAAAAGAAAACTAGAGACCCGTGATTGAAAGAAGGACGAAGAGGCTTCAGCAAGTGGGTCGTGTGAGACACGCGGGAAAGACAAGGATTTTCAAGGCCTCTGTACGATGCATTCTTGCCTTCCTCGCTATCCCTAATTGCTATTGTATCGGAGAGGAGAAATTTGGGAAAATTCCTCTTTTCGGTTTTTGCTTCGTGGGAGTTAGATTATAAAAATAAATAAATAATTGAGCGGGAGTAGTTTGCCTTGGCATGCGGGAACAGTTCCGTCCAAGGCAATTTGAAAATGCCCAAATTTTAAAATGACTAAATCAATTTTAATTAAGCTTAGTATTAAATATTGATTTTTATAGTATTTTAATGTCACCCTCTTGATTTCTCTCTCTCTTCAGGATAGATTTTTCTATTCATCAACAAGAGAGTGTTACACTATCATTTGAGATACTTGAACCATTAAAAAAAGTATTTCAAAACTTTGTTAGACTAAGACAGTACATGAAGCGCACAAGCAATGCTACACAAACTTAAACTATGGTGTCATTAGTTATCGAGTTAAATTGTGCAGCATCAAACAACCACATCATGAACTAAACTCATTGAATGATAGCCTTTTAATTTAATTTTTTAATTAATTACATCATAAAAAAAAATTCTGCTAAGAGCAAAGATGATTTGACTCTTATAAAAAGTGTTATACCAGTTGATACGCCTCATATTAAGCTAAAGAGACCTCATCAATCACAAACATAAAAATGAAATTTAAAGTTTAAACATAGTATGTTCGTTGATACTTAACCCTCAATAGAGTCAACAAGTCACCATTAACTACAAAGGCTCCTAAAATCATTCCTTCTGCCCATTTAAAAAACAGTTGGTTGACATAGTGAAGAAGATTGGTATTGGCGAGATTATCTCATTATTTATCCAATGTTTTGTGTCGTTGTTCAAAATGCACTGGCTATCAATATTTAGAAAACAGTTGGCCCATTTGCTTGTTCTATTTAGGCACTTTTGAGAAAGAACATCTTCAACTACTACAAATCTACTTGAGTCACCTATACTTAGATAAAACAGAAGAAAAGGATATTGTATTTAATCTAACATTTTCTTGGCTATGGAAATTACTGAGATATTGAGCCATAGAAAGTTTTTCAATAAAGCACATTGAATTATTACTCCTATGATGCGCCCTAATTATCACTATCACCGACACATTGTAGGCATATGTATCAGATGTCTAAGAAGTGTGAAAGAAGGTAAGCAACCAATAAGCTAATATGAAAGTGATTACTTAGTTGCCATCTACTAAGTACGGTAAAGCTTCCAAGAAACTGTGGAGCAATTCATGGAGTTGATGAAGGGTCAATGTTTACCTATCCTTGCAAGCCGATTCACCCATTTTGGAATAGAGTTTCCAGTCAATTTGTAACAGACGTCCTTGCAGAAATGGTTGCAGTTCTTAACAATTAAATGATATTTATCACCACTGTAGTTTGCAGAATGATGTTCCATAAATTCCCTGACCTGAATTGGATCTAGACAAGTTGTGCCCATGAATATAGACTTCCTAAATCTGAAGCCTGGGCATTGCCGAGGCTCAACCTCAAACACTCCGCTCGTTGGATAATCATGCGCCCCAAATGCATACTCCACGCCATAAACTGTAAGCATGTAATTGTAGAATTAAAGAACTTTAGAAGATCCTGTTGGTGGAGTACAAGTTTAATAATCCAATGGCGTCACACTTAAGAAATTGATATACAGTCTATCAAGGACTGATCATAGTAAAGTCAAACCAAGTAACTCAACAGATTTTGTCAGCGATAAAATTCATCTCTATTAAGGTTGTTATATTAGTTTCAAAATCCCAATTAAGAATCGTGCAATTAGTAACTGAAAAGATATGGTTAAGATATAGATAAGAGTAAAAAATAAATCTTAAATTGAATAGTTTGAAAAGTATATTCATACAGAAATACCAAATAATTGGCCATATTTGTATACTTTATTATTGAAGATATAAAAGAATATAAAAAAATAGCTTTATTGCAGAGAATATCCATGAAACACAACATCAAATTCCAAATAACACTTGTAAATGATTTTGAAGCTGATCTACAACAATCAAAGTCCCTTTTACAGTTTTACCTCTAAATCAACATTAAGGGAGAACTCGTTAAGAATTTTTCCATTGAATAGTTACAGAACATGTTCAAAACAAATGACTTCCAACAAATTGAGTTTCATCTTTTTACACTATAAATGGATAAAATAAATTTCAGATCAACATCCAGAGAACATAAAAGGTAAAGTTTTTTTTGGCCAAATGTGCATAAGCATAATTGATTTAATAACTTAAAAGCCTTAAAGCATTTCATTCATTCTGCACGTTTTCAATGATGATCATTTCATCATTTTCTGTAAATAAATTTATTGGCCTAATGAATCTCAATGTGATAGACTCATCCATCATAACTCATATGATAGACTCATCCATCATTTCATTTTATGGTTTGCTAAATGCGATTTTAAGCTGCTCAGTTTATAGGCCAAGCAATAATGATGGCATGGTGCACCAAGACACAAGGAGCATTTGCAATTTGGAGATAAGCAGAGGAGGATAATTTCTACAAATTTAAAAATGCAAAAAAAAAAAATTCCAAGTCATTTAGTTTAGTATGCGAGTTTAGAGGTTATTCACTGTATCTAAATCAATTCCAACTTACCTAAAGCCTTAAAAAATTATGAATGAAAACTCAAAACGATGAATTTTTTTTTTTTAATAAGTACTAGAAAAATATTTCAATTAATAAAAAAAATATTACACAACATTAAATAATTTTTGGTTGCTTCGATTTTCATATTTATAGTTTTATGACTATTATATTTTGCAACATTTTAGATTTACTTTGAATTTAATGTGGAAAATAAGTATTTGATAAAAAATCTTTGAAATATGTTTAAACTATCTTCTTAATCATTTGTTTAAAATTTTATGACATCTAAAGTCGTATTTCGATTTTTTAACGTATTTTGAAATGATTGGTTTAAAGTTGAACTAATTGAAATTACTGAAATTCAAATTTCTTGCCAAACTTTGAACTTCTAAACAGGCATGGAGTTATTAAATTTGACATCTAATTCAATTTCCAAGTTTCCAAGCAAGGTTTGAAAGAACGGAATTTATTTACACCAACAGCTATTTAAATTACATATAAAATATCCAATTCTCATTTATAGAAGTGCGATGTTAACAATATCACTTGGCCAGCTACTCAAGTAAACATTGTTAACCAAGATCTAAGCTGTTACTAACAACTGATTGCTAGCCACTATCTGCTGCATGGCATTTGCTCGCACTATCACCTATTTTACGGTAGGAGCGGAAATAATTTATTCGAACTACTTAATAGTATTGAGTGGTTTAGCTGTAACTCCTAAGAATTGGGAGCTTTGTAAGTAATTCAATAGATTACAGCGGTATATAAATAAAATTTCTTAGAATACTTTTTTAAACAAAAATGTAGCTATCCACACAGTCTATTAGAACTGCAGAATCAAATTAACAAAGACGTGTCTTTGTATCTCTTCTACCATGGCATGGTAGACATTGCCTTCCACAACACTCTTGTGCAAGAACCAGCAAGTGAAAGAATAAAGAAAGGTAGATTTACATACGTAGCACACAATTCATATGTATTTACATATCTCACACCTAAACATTCATATTTACACACATGGCACTCAAATCACTAATATCACGTCAAAAATAGCAATATTACCATTTTTTAAAAGTGAAATGCACCTTTTCAGGAATAGGTTTAAAGCGCCGAATTGCTGTGTGTGTGACTATGAAAGTTTAGGTGAGAAATGTAAATACATAAGAATTGTGTGCTATGTATGTAAATTTCCCAAAAAGAAAAAAAAAATCCTGAAAAACAAAGTGCCTCCTCAAACAGAACCCAAATGACAACACAAGGAACAACACGCCATACCTTCAACCCCAGAGTGGAATATGCCCAGCCCCGCCCAATAAACATAACCGTTCAAGGGTGTCAAGTCATATACGTTCAGATAAACAGGTGCGTTGCCTGATGTTTGTCCAGCTGATCGAACTTTGGGGAACAAAGAAAAGCGAACCAAGGATTTCCTTCCCACCCGAAATGGCATGAGAGAACTCCAACCATTTTTTGAGCCTGACTTCATATTTCTTCAAATAATGAAGAAATTTCTCAAAGTTTGTTGCAGGCTGGCAAAAATAAAATGAAATTGCAGGTTACCTTCCAAATGAAGAGTCGCCACAAAAATACTGTAATAAACTGATTTTTTCTTGCCAACCAAGTCATGAAATTACAATTGTTTTTTAAGAAGCTAATATTTCAAAAATACAGCTAAAATCTTGTTTTTTTTGTTTTTTTTTCTAGAAATATATTGAAATTACATAACAGGAAGACATTGAAATCACATATTAAATATTGAGGACAAACTTTATAAGTTGAAAGGATTCATGTATTCATGGAGTCACATACCCTTCTTTATCACTAGCAAATTGAGCAAAAAAAAAGAATGAAAGATTAATCATTAGCAAGTTTCAAGTATGACTCAATTTCACTCCAAGCAAGACCTAAATTTGAAATGAGAAACAACGACTTAAAAACCCTAGACAAACGCCAGATAGCACTATGGGCTCGTTTTGTAGAAGAAAACATGTTGAAGGAGCTGTTTGACTATTAGATTTAGTAAATCTTAGGTGGTAAATTCCGAAAATCATTTGGCATCATAATTGTTAAATCTTGCTTTGTTTAGTATTAAAATTTGTGAGAAGAAATTTTGAGATCCTTGAAATCTTATAAAAAGTGGAATTTAACAGATAAAGAAGTTGAAATCTCTATTTGAAAATATTTAAGCTAAATCTAGCTTAAATCCTGTCAAGAATAAAATAGTAAACAGCTTCTTAGAAAGTGATGATTCTGTTTTCCAAAAGTCATGCTGATTCCCAACTGCTTCCAACGAAATAACGGAGTCCAGTAAACTCATTAATCTTCAACACATTTTTCTTACTTCAAGTAACGCAACGAATATTAAAAGTAAATCGCTATCATCAACTATTTAGAAAGACCATGAAAAGTCCTCAAACCTACATTTCCGCCATCATGCATCAGCCACAGAAGCGCAAAACCTTACCTGTACAATTTAATGACAAAAACACCGCAGTTTCTTTTAGCAGAAATCTTCAACTCCGACAAAATGATACCTCCCCACTATTCACCAGTAAACTTCAACCGAATAAATCAACAAATGAAGAAGACAAAACTAAAGAGCAAAGCACGGACGCCTAAACCCCCAACGCCCCGCCAACCCCTCCTAGTTGCCAATACATCCAGAGCAAAAAGCAGCTTCTAGAACTTCACAGCCACAACAAAAACCAATAAATCACGAGAAAACCCTAAAAGAAAGTAACACCAGCAAAAGTGAACACAAAAGCAAAGAGACCCACTAACCCGCTCAGAAAACCGCTTCAAAGTAAAAGAAAACCACTTCCCCCCATCAGCCAAACCGCCATGGTTGCGGCCGGCCCCGCTCGTCTGCCAGAGAACCTCCTGGAAGACGAAGGAAACCACTCAATAATCGACCAAATCCAGCGTCGCCCCAAGAAATTATTAGGAGAGAGAGCGAGATCTCTGGAGATTTGTCTCGGAACAATTACAGATGTTGTCTGCATCAGTTTTTGGCTTCCAGTGCCATCGCCCCAAAAAAGTGATTCATTGAGTTTGATGTGCTTTAAGATGCGTGCTTAAATTTCTCATTTTCTGAACTAAGAATTGCTACCGTATGATCATTTTCTGAATAAGCCTAAAAGCTGATTCAACGGTTGTGATTTGTTTATCAAGCGGGTTTATACTATTCCCGTGCATAGAGAGATTGCTAATTTTAAAGTTTTTAATAAGTTAAATTAATTTTCAGGTGTTTCTTTCAAATGATTTGATCATGTTGGTGTCCTACCTACATAAGATGTGTGTCATTATGCATACTGTGTATAAATCAACATATTGCATGATATGCTTATAAATGGGAGGCGTGATGGACAAATCTGACAATATTTTTTTTTATCTTGTAATAATTATTTGTAAATGCGAGAGTTGTCATTTCATCATTATCATAAAGAAGATTACAGATTGGACTTTGATTAAAATAAAAGTTGTTGTGACTGTTGTTGGGGCTCATTTTGACATTTTATGGCTATTTTATATTGTCATTTAGGGAAATTTGCATCCATTTTACATAATACGTCATGTCATAAATATCAGCATGAAAAGTGCAATTCACATTTTAAAATAGTTAATAGCGATGGCATTTTTATATTATGTTATGGCTTTGAGTTTTATAATATAATATGAAAATTTAGTTGTTACATATGTCAATATGTAAAAATTGTGTATGTATGTTGGTGCATGCTAGTAAATTCACAGTGAAAAAGTAATGAATTATCGTATTAGTGTTGCACGAGAATTCATCACATACTTGGGTGAAAGAAAATAAACAGTAATGGAGTCGGATGTTTTTTTTACGTGGAAAGCTCCGTAAAATGAAAAAACTACGGTGTCTGACTCGGTTATAAAAATTCATTATAAGTTAATGATTGCAGAAACTTCTTGTCTCTTAGACGTGAAATTTGTTAGATTTTTTAAGTTACAATATTGATTGATCATGTCTAGTTGGTTGTGGTTGACGACGAGTGGTGAGGATCGATACTGGTTAGTAGTGGTCGATGGTGGTTAACAATGACAGTAATGCTTGATTGTGGTTAGTGGTTGTCGACGGCGATCGATGGTGGTTGAAAGCTGTCGGCATCAACAATGTTAAAAATGGTGTTGGACTTCACCTCCCTCTCGAAGCTTCAAGTTTTTTTCTCGAGGCTCAAGCTTCCCCTTCATCAGAGAAGCAAGGCTCTATTTCTAGTGTTCTGGGTGCAATTAATGCAAATGTATAAATCATTTTGATCGAATGGTCTGAAGAGCTTCCTTCAATCAGAAGACGTTTGATAGACATTTGACTACCTTAACGATGTTGGAATTGAGTAATATTGGACTCGTTGGATTCGTTTTATCGAGACACTCAATTCGACTATAAACTCACCAGATTCAACATTCATTTGATCTTCCAAATGTGTATGAAAATCTTCTAAATGTGATTTAATGACTTGATATAGGTTTGATTTGACTCGGATTAGACTAAATTAGACATCATTAGACACTTCTCATCGAGCCGGTCAATCTGACCATAAGTTTGTTGAAATCAGAGTTCTGGATGACTCTTAATTGAAGTCTGAATGTTTATTGTTCCAAAAATTGCCTCAAGATTTGTGTCAATGCCTTGAAATTCGTGTTAGATAATGGAAATTTGCTGAAGACATATCACATATAAACATCCCAATTCTTTCTGTGCATATGGTGAATATTTTTCTACTAGCATAATTGATATACCATGAAGATTGATACTTAGTTGTTCACCATTTGATTAAAATATAATCTCAAATTAATATTTTCTTAATCTTTAAAATTGGTTAGAATGACTATTTTGTTCTTGCATAAGGTTTTACATTTTATCCAAAACTTATATACTGTTTTTTTATTAATAATAACTTCTTTCAAGTAATTTGATCTTCATTGATACAATCTATCTTTTGTAATCACTGCTTATCCAACAAAATAGAGAACAAGTTTCAATTGTGCTCAAACGCATGACACAACAAATAAAAATAAAAAGAATCTTAATATGTTGTGTTCAATCGCTCGCCTTACCTAAAAAAATTAGTAATGTTACACTTTCAACAATTTTTTATGAAACATGAATCTCGATGCAAGATACTTCAAATTCAATTTAAGATATGTTAGGCCTCAATTTCAATAAGTTCATAGTTAAACTGACAATCTCGACAAGACGAATCAAATGATACCAAAATAAGTTCAATTTGTGTCTAATTAGGCTCATATAAGCTTTGAATCATGATCGAAAACTTAGAATCGTAAATTCAAATGTCAAAAAGATTCTAAATTTCACATATTTATAGTCAGATCGAGTGTCTCGACTCAAGGAAGCCAATGAGCCTAAGATCATTAATAGTTGAGGATATCAAAGCTTTCAAATCCTTAAAAACTGTAAATACATAAGAATTTAGTGCTAAATATGTAAGTTTCCACATATTATAATAATAATCATAAGATAAAAATTAATTCAACATTAACACAAAATTGTAAAATATGTTCATTGATTTTACTTTTTGTGTCTTGCTCTAAAACATATGAATGATATGAAAATAAATTTTGATTATATTCAATATATATTTAATTATTTAAAGTAACTTGTAATCAAAACTTGAGCTTATTGATATAGTTGATTAAAATAAGCTTATGAACATCAAGAGATCATTTATCTAATTAAAAAGATTAGGCAACAATTCATTTAATGATTGAAAAAGGGACCAAAATATACTTAATCAAGGGCAGGTTGGCATGGCACATATCTTTAAAGTTATATGATTCCTTTGTCTCAAAACATCCAAACAATTTGATTAAACTCTTATTCATTCTCAAGCTAAATCAATGACCTAAAACATTCATATAATCCTTCTAATTTTTATATAAGCTGTTCTTACATAAAATAGAATATCCAATCACAATAGATCTACTCAAATTCAATAATTATTAAAGATTATTTTCAAACCTCAACAAATCTATTCCATTATTAAACACAAATTAGTAGTTAATTCAAATTTTTAATTGATGTTCCGTTAAAAAATCATTAATTTGAATTGCTTTCAAAGGAAGAATCACAGTTCAATGCGGTTGTTGCTATAACTTCACCTACGATAAGGAAGAAAATCCTCAGGGAATAAGATGAAGTGAATCTAATATCACAGTTCATAAAGAAAATGATCAAAAGGATGACGTCTCAGCATGTGTTACCAATCAATAATATGCCAAACAATTGTATTATCAATATCTAATGCTTGAGAATTTAAGAATCTATCATGAATTCAATCTTTTTCAAACACTCTCATAAGAAAATAAAAAAGATAAACTTAAAAATGGAATGCAAAGCACTACAAAGACAAGATGCAATATCTGACAAATTAAATGGTCTTCTTAATTAATGAAATAAAAGCCCAAATCAGTCGAAGGCCCATTGATTTTCTGCTCGGATCTGCTCTTCTTGTTCGGGCGTGAAATCATTTTCAATTTTAAAAATTTTACGGATTTCCTCTGGCATCTTCCCTCTCATCATGTCTGCTACTTTTTTGCAAATCAGATCAAGCAGATCTTTCACGTCCAAGTAATTCGCCGCCTGAAAAGGTATTTATAAAATACAAATTAATGATGGATTATTTACATACAGAACACTTAAAACATCAAATTTTACATAACTATCCTCTAAAACATACTATTTACATAGCTAAGACCCTAAAAAGATGAGAGGACTAATTCTTCTTCTGAAAAAGCTCCAAAAAATATTAGCATATAAGACAACTAAATAATTTAAAGTTCATTAATTTGTTATGTATATCTAATATTAAAAAAATTAATATAAAGACTTAACATAATAACATTAAACGTTAATTTTATATTTTAAATATCATTTTTTTAAACTCACAAATTAATACTCTATTTTTTATTCATAATTTTCACATTCTTATATATATATATTCATTAGTTGTTTTCTCTTTTTTAGAGTGTGTGCTGAATCTTTCTACCACACTAAGACGATAATCAACTACCCTGCTGCCGCGTATTCTCTAGCACACATCATGTATATAAACCCCCATTAATAAAATAAAATATCACAAAGAAAACAAATAACAAAATAAGAAAGCCATTACCATAATAAGGTCGTAAAGCTTATCCACATCAACATCGACAAATTTGGCATCAAAATCCTCAAGCTGTTCTTCATTCGGCAAGGAATAGTCAATATGCCTCTTGCAGTAATAGAACACATCAGAGAGAACAGAGGCCGTGACATTGGGTATGGGTATGACGTCTTCAGCACAGTTATCTTCAATCAAGTGGCGAATTGTTTGAGATTTCATGGCTACTTTCTCTTCCACCACCACCTCCTTCCCATCACTCCCCATCATTCTTATCATCTCTGTTTCTTCAGCCATTCCAGAAAAAAAATAATTTTTTGGAATACGAAACAATGGAGGATTGGTGAAGCTGTTCTTATTTATAGCAGGAGGTAAGTCGGTTGGGAATTGGGATAGGAATAGATGTTTCTCTTTATGGCGTTTGATTATGATATAGATAGTTTGTGGATCTCAAATATGGCACCTAACAATAGAATATATGGTTGCTTTAGAGTTCAAGATATCCTGATTTTAAGGTTTAACGTAATAAGAATTGAGGTCCTTGTAAGTAGACATATTTGAGAATAGGGCTGTTAAAATGGCTTGTTGTTCGCAAACACATCGTTAAATAGCTCGTGCTCGATTCATTCACTAAGCAAACTGCATGAACACAAATAATTTTTTTTCGCCCGACATGTGAACTGTCTCGAAAAAAATAAAATATACATACATACATACATATATATATATATATATATATATAATGAGTATTATTTTTAAATAATTTAATTGACTATAATGCTACAAAGATTTATAATCAATTAAAATTACTAATTGAAATGAAATAAAAATATATTAAATTCTATTTAAATAAATATTTTAATATAAATAACAACATTTAAATCTAGACATACTCTTAACATTCTATGACTGTGTGATTATGGCTGTCAAAATAGCTCATTGTTCGTGGATAGCTCGTGTTTGGCTCGATAAGCAAGTGAGGCAAACACAAATAAATTTTTCAGCTTGTTATATAACGATCCGAACATGAACAATTATGTTTTTTAACAAGCCGAGTCTGGAATCGCTCAAGCTCGACTCGCTTACACCCCTAACGATTGCATGAATGCTATTTGTCAAAAATGGTTTTTTGCGCGAACAACTTGTGTTCGGCTCGTTTATTTAGCAAGCCGAATATGAACGGATTTTTTATGTTTGAAAGATAAACGAGCTGAACATGAACAGTGATATTTTTTAACGAGTCGAACACGACTGAGCCCAGGCTCGCTCCTGTTCGGCTTTCGGCTCGTTTTCACCCTTATTTGAGAACATGTCACATGTCTAAGACATCTAAGGAGAAAATATTATGTCTGGAGCTATGACACCTTAGAAGGAGAAAATATTAGGTCCTGACATTATGTTTGGACGACGACATGGACGACGACGTAGATTATACCATGCGATCATGCACTGTATCCAGTCAATACAAGTAATATTTTCTCCCTTGAAGGGACTAGGATTATCTTTCAAGCTATTGACTTGTATTCAATTCACGTGCTAATCATAAACACGCTAATATTTGTGTTAGTTTGCTCAATGTTCTTAAGGAAATTAAATCAACATTTTCTCTTAGGAGATTAGCCTTAGCTTGTAACTATTAGACATAAGCTATCAGTATTAGTCAAATTTGAGTCTTCCAATTTGAGAGTAGTATTCTCTTCCAATTTGAGATTAGTATTCTTAAATCAAGCGCAGGTCAACAAATTCTTAAACCATGTTATGCGCCATTATCATGCTCTTTTCATATTTAATATATTGAATCTAAATTCCAAAAATAAGTTTACTCTTTAGGTTTACACTAAAAGGCAAGAGCCTTTCGTTGGAAAAAATATTACGTCCGGAGTCCAGACGTAAGCTGCGTCCGGTCAACGACTGCGACCATCAAATGTAATTTTTTTTTCTTTTTTTCCTTCTCTGTTCACTCCCGTGGATTGCAGTCGTTGTCCTGACGCAGCTTGCATCTGAAATATGAACGTAATATTTTTTCCTTTCGTTGAACGAGTTTAGCCCAATATTGGCAACACTTCTCCATGTCCCGATATGGTATATGAGTCATACCATAACAGACTGCGACTATCAAATGTAATTTTTTTCTCTTTTTTTCCTTCTCTGTTCACTCCCGTGGATTGCAGTCGTTTGTCCTGACGCAGCTTGCGTCTGAAATATGAACGTAATATTTTTTCTTTTCGTTGAACGAGTTTAGTCCAATATTGGTAACACTTCTCCGAACGAGCTTGAGAGGGGCGAGCCATTGAAAATTTGATCTAACATAACCTAAACTCAAATTTATGAAGTTATTGTGAACCATAAGTAATAATAGATAAACCATAATTAATATTATTACCTGATATGTCGCCAACAAATTATCATCATCTGGCACGAATCTCGAGGCATAACACTGATCTTGAGACAATATCTTGAGCAAAAAACATTCAAACTTCAATTAAGACTCATCCAGAGCTCCGATTTCAACAAACTTATAGTCAAACTAACCGAATCGATGAGACAGACCTAATGATATCAAAGTTAGTCCAATCCAAGTTAAATCAAGCCCAGATCAAATGATTAAATCATTCTTGGAAGATTTCCGGATATATTTGAGAGATCAGACGAATGTCGAATTCAGCGAGTTCATAGTCGAATCGAGCGTCTCGACAAGACGAATCTAACGAGACCAAGATTGCTCAATTCTAACATCATTAAGGTACTCAAATGTCTAGTCTATCAAATATCATACAATCGAGGAACTCTTTAAATCATCCAATTAAAATGGTTCATATTCCTGCATTAATTGCACCCAAAATACTGTAAATAGAGCCCCACCCTTCACATGAAGGAAGAGACTTAAGAGAGAACTTGAGGCTTTGAGAAGGAGCTCAAGTCCAAGATCAAGGAGGCTTAAGAGAGAACTTGAGGGTTTGATAAGGTGCTCAAGTCCAAGATCATCCCGTCATCGTCGATCGCCGTCGACCACCACTGACCGTCTAAAACGACCGTCGACCACCGCCGACCACCGTGGAACGACGCCGATCACCGCTGACCTCCGTCAACCACCAATTACTAGACGTAATCAGTCAACGTTATAACGTGGAAATCTAGTAACCCTTTCCCGCCTGTGGGACAAGGGACATTTATAATCATCAACTTATAGTGGATTTTTACAACTGGGCCAGGCCCCGTGGTTTTTCCCTTTTTACGGGTTTTCCACGTAAAAACTTCTGGTGTGATCACAGCTCGATTCATTTTTATCTGAGTGTGTGCTGAATTCTCGTGCAACGTTAAGACGATAATCCATTACTCTACCACCACGAATTTTCTAGCACGCATCATTACTGATGGTCAAATTTCATCAATAATAATGGATAAACCATAAGTAATATATTTACTGACGGTTTTGCGACGACTAAGTCGACGTAGAAAAAACGATTGTTGGTAATATAATTAACAACGAATTTAGCGATAATTTACATTAATCGATGGATATCCAACATGTCTTAGTTGTTGCTATAAATCCAAAAATATGTCATATTTAACTGTATCTTGACCATTACGCATATGTCCGTAAAAAAAAAATGTTGCACTTCAGTCAGAAAGTGTCATGATTTTATTGGTAAAATGTCGCGCAATCATCGGTTAATCTTAACAATTTACTAATAGTTTTGACCATAGCAAAAGCACACCACATTGTAAAGACTTCCCTTGTTTGATAAGCCATCGGAAAACCGTCCGTAAAATATGGCTAGAAAGAAATAAAGCATTTTGAAATGCATCTTACCTATGCTTCCTTTGTATCCTTCTACATTTGCAAGAATAATCTATAAGCTTCACTTCAATTTCTTTCTGCATACCCCATTTCTTTTCTATCTCATGGTTCAAATGTCATTTAAGAATTCCTCCGCTGTATTTGTGGGATTCAATAACAATAACCAGAAAAATCATCCTCTGTTTCTAGCAGGAAAGTGGTCGGTAATACGAGTTATCGACAGAGAAATCATGGTTGACAGCTTCTTTTGGTGTTGCAAGTGAGACAATTAGGCATCTTTTGGCTAAGCATGCAAAGGCTGTGTTGTTGGGGTGTTTAGGATGTGCTGAGGAAGTGAAAAAAAAGTTTGAGGAAGAAATTAAGAGGATTAAATTGAGAGTAAGAAGAGGAAGAAGCAACAGAAAGAGAGGAAGAAAAGAAATGTAGAGGATGCAAGGAAAATGAAACAAGAAGAAGAGAGGAAGAGAAGGGGAGGATGGAAGAGGACAGAAGAAAATACGAAGAGGAAGAGAGGAAGAAAGGAAAGTGGAAGAGGAGGATAAGCAAAAGAAAAGAAGAATTTGAAGAATAAGAGGCATAAAAGAGAGAGAAAAAAGAAGAAGAGGAAACAAGAAGGAGAGAGAAAAAAAACTGGAAGAAAGAGAAGGGTAGAAAAATGCAGAACCATAAAAGAAAGAAAAAGAGAAGGAAGCACAAAGAAAGTGGGAAGAGGATGAGTGAAGATCAAAAAAGAGAAGAGCACAAGAAGAGGAAGTACTAAGAAGAGAGAAAGAATAAGAAGTATAAAGAGAAAGAGAGAATATAAAGAAAGATATGAGAAAGATTGAGGACGAGAAAATAAAGGAAGAAGTAAAAAATAGTGAGGAAGAAAAAGAAGTAAGGGGAGATGGGAAGAAAGAAAGAAGAGAAAATACATAAGGCAAATAGAGAAAATGATGGCAAAGGACACACGAAGTGAGCAAAGATGAGCATAGTAAGAGCGAGGAGGAAGAAGATATTGAAAGTGAAGAGGAAGGAAGGAAAGTTAAGTAGAGTGTTGGAGTTTCTTCTCTATCAAATAAAAAAGAGTAAAGGAGTTCACCTAGAACTTATCTTTCTAAATGCATATGATCGTGACAAAAGTGAAGTCTAGTTAGTTTGTGCTTTATGTTCTACTTTCTTATTTTATATCTTGTTTTTTTTTTTCATGTAGATATTACCAATGAATTAGTTGCTCTCTCTTATAATCTAGCAATTAGTGAAAATGAGCTTTCTCTTTCAAAAATTAACATCAAATTTTAAAGAAAAAGCCCCCACCCAATCTAGTAAATAAATTTGTGTATTTTGTTGTTTTTATTAATCAATAATGTTACATACAAGAGCATTTTTAAGAAAATAATTTAGCCAATCTAATTATTCATTATAGTCATGCAGAATAAAAAAATGATACTGATCTCAATGATAAAAATATATTATACTACTAAAATTTCATTATAGTCATGCAGAATAAAAAAATGATACTGAATTCAATGATAAAAATATATTATACTACTAAAATTCGGCTCGTTCAAAATAGCTCGTGTTTGAAATCGACTCGTGTTTGAAATCGACTCGTGAACAGTGTGTTCGTGTTCGACTCGATTTAAATATTTGTGTTCGTGTTCGGCTCGAAATTGACTCGTTAAACTAAAAATGAGAAAAATAGATGTAAAGTGTGGGATTCGAACCTGGATCAAATCTATACAAAAGAAGACACTTA